TCATTGTTGTTTGGCGGGTCCGGGCTGGGGATTCGAACCCGCCACCTTAGGTGTACGTGGCTGGCACCTTAGCCGGTTGAGCTATAGGCGCCGAGCCTAAATCTAAATTCTTATTATGGCTAGAATTTCCTTCTAGCTACTTTCTTGGTTCCTTTTTATAAATCCAAAGAACCATTATAAATGAAACTGACCTCCATATATATAAAATATGTGTGATACCAATTCAAATGTAAGCTGGTAGTAGCACTCAACTGGAAATGTGCCTACCAGAAACATCTCTAAAATGTAAACAAAATTTAAAAAAAACTGATTTTACCTCATACCTACTAAATCAGAATTTCTAGTAGTAGAAGCAAACATAGTTCTCTAAGTAATTCTGATATATGGCCTCAGCTAGACAACACTGTATGTAAAATGTAGAAATAAAGGGTATTGCTTGGTTTTAATGACTAATCTATCACAAGGACTCAGAAAACACTGACAAATCAGTCTCTTTCAGAAGTTCTTTCAGAATAAAACAACCGGATTCAATACTCTTTTAAGGAAATAATTTTAAGGCTAATTAGAAGACTTGTCGGTTTAAAGTTCCTGTAGTATTATAGAAAATGTGCGATGAGTATGAGTCTCTTTGTAAGATATGGTTGTGATTTATTAGAACTATCTGTAAATAAAGATGTGGGGACAAATTCCATTCTGTGCCTGGTTTTGCTATAAAGTGGTCAGTGCTGGTCATAAAAGACATAGACATAGGCCCATTAAGAAAGTCTGTCTATTTGGTCAAAGACTATTAGACAGTAATGGTTTATAACATAGGCTTCATTTAAATGAAAAATACTGCATATTTTACTCTTCTTTTGTACATCTATCTCTAATCCACTGCTTAAGAAATTTTTAATTTGGGCCAGGCATAGTGACTCATGCCTGTAAATCCCAGCACTCTGGGAGGGCGAGGCAGGTGGATTGCTTGAGCTCAGGAATTCAAGATCGGACTGAGCAAGAGAGGCTCCGTCTCTATAAATAGCTAGGCTTTGTGGCTGGGGCCCATAGTCCCAGCTACCTGGGAGGCTGAGGCCAAAGGGTCACTTGAACCCAAGTGTCTGAGGTTGTGGTAAGCTATGACTCCACAGCACTCTACCAAGGGCAACAAAGTAAAAGTACCTTTTCTTTTTTTTTTTTTTTTT